CCGCATACCTGGCGGATGCCGTACTCACCATGGTCGCCCGCAGCTGCAGAGATTGCCCATGTCGCTCCTTCCTCCCTGAAGCAGGAGTGTTTTCTGGACTGGGAGAGCTTGTATTTCCTGGTTCCTGCTCGGCCCCTGGCTCTTCCAAGGGAGTGTCTGGCAGTGTCAGATTTCTCTCCATCGCTGCAGCGACGGTCTGCAGGGCCCGTGCATGCCATCTACCGGAGGGCTGGCCCCGGGCTCCCCGTGCCCCCAGGACCTGCGCTCGCCTCTTGCTACCCGCGGAGGAGAGGGCAAGGCAGCAGCCTCCAGGCCTCAGCCCTGGGGCTAGAATTCTGCTTTATGGTTTGTACAGTGGGTTTTCCTCCGCTATCCCTCTCTCCCACCAGCGCCATCCTGCTGATGCCAGCAGTGATGCCAAAGAGGATGGAGGAGGGACTTCAAATGTTCCTGAACAAAAGGAGAAACACCAGGGTGGGAGCTCCTAGTGCTGTTCCTGCTGTTCATCATTGCATCTCAAGCAGGATGTCAGAAAAATGTGTGGCATGGGCTGGCATCATCTGGGAAAGAGAGCGTATCTTCTTGGGAGGGAGGTGATGCCCCAGTGAAGGTGAGAGCAGGCTTGGAAGTCTGCTCTCAGCTGAGCTCTAGTGCTCCTGCTTCTGCTGCAGGCAGAAAGGCATATGCAACCTCAGCGACATTACTGGGAATCCATTTTTTTCTAATGCTACCTACATGAAAATGTAGAGATTCGTGCTTTTTAGAAAACAGAATCCCATGAGGGACCTCGTATCATAAGGACCTGAAATACAGCTCTTAGGCTCACCGCGCAGCATGTCGAACAGGAACTTAATGTATATTTTACCTCTCTATACATATTGAGAGCCCTTTACACTGTGGCTGGTCATTCCTGGACTGAGCAACGGGTAGATGATCTCTGGCAGATACTCAGATACTCAATACTGAAAGACAGCATGACAAGGTAGTCCTCAAGCAGAAACTGTACTCCACAACTTTGATTTGGCAGTCAGCCCCAGTTCTGTGCGCGCCTGAATGCCTCATGGGATGTGCTGACAAGTGGGTAAGTTTTATTTCACCCTTCGGGTGGGCTATCTTAGGAACTGGCCCTAGTCCCCTACTCCAGCTATAGCCATGCTCTCATCCAGGTTCACAGCAATCATTTATCATCTGCCCAAGTGCACAGGAAAGCTTGTACCTGTCAAGAAGTGGCAGGAGGAGGAGAGTTCTGCTTTGGAAGGACCACAGGGCACAGCCGCTCTCTTAGCTGAATCCTGGATGACCTGCACTGCAACCTGCAGAGCCTGAGTGTTGCTCTGAAACTGCTCCTCAGCATGTGGCTGGAGAAGTTGTGCAGCTCGGCCTGCACCACAGCACCCTGGGGAGAATTTAGGATCGGATTTATGCAGGCAGACAGGATTCAGCCCTGATCCCAACAGGACTGTGTTCTCAGGGTCCTGCAATGACCAGGTGGTCTCAGGAGTCTGTCCCTGCTTGGGAAGTTGCAGACTCTGTGTCTCTGGGTTTGCCCCAGACACTGTTGATTTAGTGAGCCAGTGTCTGTTTTGATTTCTGGGATAACTTGGGCTTTGTTGCTTTGTGGAGAATTAAAAAAAAAGTCTGGGGGCCTGTTCCCATCAGCCCCTTTCACAAATACTGGAACTGCTGGTTTGAGCTCCACCAGAGAAACAGAAAGGCACCAAAAACACTGGCAGAGTTGGAGAGCATTTGGCTGCCACTGTGCATTCCTTCCTCAGTCTGTGTCTGCAGGGATGAAAGACAGCATGACTTCCAGCGCTCGTGTTCAGCAAACCAATCAGGCTATTTTGTGCAAAGCCTGCCAGGGTGCAGAGGAACAGCCCAGTGGCAGACACTAGGCAGTGCCAGCCCCTCTCACTGTATCACTGCTCAGGGCAACTGTCTTCATGCACTTAGGAACATCATCTGGGTAACAAGCTGTGCAACTGGCACAAGACGAGCCTGCAAGTACCCAGCAACAGAGAATGAACTTGCTGGAGAGCAAGACAGGGCTAATAAAAGCCAGAGGGGGAACAAAACTGTGTGATGACTACTAATGCTGTGCATTTCTACTGCAACAGTGTCAAGGTACCTCAGACACCAAGGGACTGGGACCGTACTGTAACAGGTGTGGTACAGGCATAGAACAAGCTGGCATTGTCTATAAAAAAATGAAGGAGACAGAGCTCTAACTGTTTTGGGCACTTTTGTCTTAGAATCTGCTCCCTGTGCAGCCCCAGCCCTGGCCACACACTGTTTTCAGTCCCCAGCAGTTCACAGAATCACAGAATGTTCAGGGTTGGAAGGGACCTCTGTGGGTCATCTCGTCCAACCCCCCTGCTGAAGCAGGGTCACCTACAGCAGGCTGCACACGACCTTGTCCAGGTGGGTCTTGAATATCTCCAGAGAGGGAGACTCCACAACCTCCCTGGGCAACCTGTTCAGTGCTCCGTCACCCTCAGAGTGAAGATGTTCTTCCTCATGTTCAGACGGAACTTCCTATGCTTCAATTTGTGCCTGTTGCCTCTTGTCCTGTCGCTGGGCACCACTGAAAAGAGTTTGGCCCCAGCCGCCCACAGCCCATGTGTTGCAGAGCCAGAGCAGGGCCAGATGGCATCTCATGCTTTAGCGTGTGCCATGTCTGCATTGTGTGTGTATGTGCACTCCTTCAGCCAGCCACCCTTCACCCAGCATGCAGGTCATGCGTTGGCCACCCTCCCTATCCCCAATCCAGTGAAGATGTTTATCCTAGTGACAGGAGGCCTGCAGTGAGTGAGGGGACCATCGATCCTTCTTACCAGTACAGAAGATGCCAGATCAGAGACAAAAAAAAAGCCTTTTATAGGCTGCTGCTCTGAACTGGCTGTGAGTCTGAGGAATCCTTTTTATGGCAGGGGACTAAGTAAATTATGGCCATGCCTGAGCCTGCACACAGACACAGACCTCTGCCCTCACCACAGGGGTATGGGCTTGGGAGCTCAGCCTTCCTGGGACTTGGGACTTCGGTGGGTGCTGCTGCAAATGACATGCAGTATGTATCTGGTGCAGTGCATGAGGCTGGTGCAGCATGTACTGAGGAGCAGAGAGGCTCATCGGCAGGCAAGCAGTTAAGGACCGGGCTGTTGCTAACCTTACAAGCAGCTGCTTCAGATGACTGCAAATCACTAGCTCAGGATTATCTCTGAAATTATTATTAATGACTTAGACAAAGCCTGTTGTAAAGGTGATTTTTATTTTGATAGTGTCTGAAATACTTACAGGCAGCAGCCTATCTGCTCCTATTGCATGAGTAAGGGCATCCCTCAGTAGTACAGACTGTGAGTGTGGGTATCTGATCTGCACCAGGGGGGGATGGAGGCTTAGCCATCCTCCTGCTTGCTCTCATGAGGCTGGCAGGCAGGGCTGCTTTTAATCTGACTCTGATCCTCATTCCTGGCAGGGGCCCTGAGGAGTAGAAAATAACTGCACGCTGGTACACTCTGATCTGCATCCCACTTTGCCTGGCAAGGGTGAAAGAGCAGCCTTATACTGGCATTTCAGCAACCCAGGATGTATGCTGCATGGGATAGACTCCTGATCAGGGCATTTCTGGCCCTATGTATTCATGGAGGCAGAGTGCAGAATCCTGCAGCTCACTCCCCAGCAGGCAGAGGGAGATGCTCTGTCCACAGGGACTTTGGAACCTCCTCTCTCCTCTGTGGGAGGGCTGCACTGAGGCATGCCAGGGACCCCCTTATTTGGCCAGTGACACAGCATTTTGGCTGCTTGAATTGGCTCTGACAAGACAAGGATTGCAGCTGGCACCTGCTGAGCCCTCGCGGCCATCCGAGATAGCAGCTGCCACCGACAGCAACACACATGATCCCTTGCCCAACATCACAAGACTAAGGAGACATTTCTCATGTAGCCGGTAGCATCACAGTGTCTGCAAAAGGGGCCAAATTCATCCCCTCTGTGACTCTACAGAATGCTGGGATGGCAGCAAGGCACTTGGGATCTGAGCAGAGCCTTTCCCTTCAGCATTTTGGGGCTCACTCCCTTCACAAGGGTTTAAAAGATCTGTATGTGAACAAGCCTTTCGTCCCACAAACTAGAGGGCTGAAGCAAGCAGAGACCACGGCTTGGCATTTGTTTACTTGGGCTAACTCCAGCTGCAGGTCTGTAAATGCACAGTGACCCTCCAAGAGCCCATCACTCTACATCTTTTCTCCTTAGGGCTACTGCTCCCCACAACAGCAAGGAACTCCAACTGCACCTGAGTCAGGAGGGCCAACCACAGAGGTCCCCCTGGCTGCCCCATGGACAGAGTCCCTTGAAATCCCCACTGATGCCATTTCCACAGATGAGCTCAGTGTGAACTCTCTGCTGCTCTGCTCCCCACATCTGTAACAGCTAAGGCACTGTCCATCCTTCCTGCTGCAAAGTATCTTGGCCAGAACCAACATGAATCCAAGGCAAACAAGAGCAGATCAGAGCCAGATTTATTCCTCTTTCCTCTGGAGAGCTGTAGGCACTTTTACAAACCAACAAGCACCTTCCATCTCCACAAAAGGCAGCCACCAGCTCACAAGCAAGGCACTGGGATCATCTCTTCCCTCTTCCCTTCCGGGCCAGAGCACAGCAGCTGTTTAACAGTCCACTGTGACACCGTCTCACAGTTTAGGGTAAGAGTGACCCCTGCCATTTTGGGTAAGAGAAGAGCACCTTGCATGGTGCTCAGTGAGAACTTGCCCTAGGAGAAAACTTGCATTACAGTCCCTCACACTAACACTTCAGTCCACTTCTTTTTTTCAGTCCCAAGTCCCATTTTCCATCCACCAGCCTTAGGCAGCAGAAGTCTGACATATATAAGGTTGCCTCACAGCCCTGCTAAACACTGATAGTGAGAAATAGGTGTCTAGCACCGTGGATTCCCCATCCCCGTCCCGCCCGCTCTTTTCCATGCAAGCCCAGATCTGAGGTCTTTAGAACTCTTCCTTCCCTTCTCCTTCCTCAGACTGTTCTTCTTTCCCCACTGGCTGCTCCTGCTGGGTTATCTTCACCTCGTTGACTCTGGCCTTCATCTCTTTCCCCGTTCGGGGAGCCACAATGCTTAAGATGCCATCGTGGGACAATGAGGCTCTCACCAGCAAGGGGTCAACATCCAGAGGGAGGATATAGGTCCTGGTGAACTCTCGGGAGATGAAGCCGTGGCGATCAGCCTTCTGCGGGTGCTGCCCCATCACCTCCAGCAGGTTGTCTACAGTGCGGACAGTGAGCTCATCCGGCAGGAAGTGACAGACGTCCAGGAACACCTGGAATTTGTGCTCATTGAGGCTGATCTCAGAGGTGCCTCGATCCAGCTGCTTATTGATCCGAGGCCTGATGTAGTAGCCATGATACAGGGCAGGGGCTAAAATCTCACATGGGGACACACCTGAAAATGAGATTCAGTGAGGAGTGTGGGGTTCCAAGGGAAGAATTTGGAGAAGGATGGTTGGCAGCAGATAGGGGAGGGTGGCAGTACGAGGCTGAGACCTGGCAAACACCTTGGTTTTGCCACCTCATCAGTTTAATATGGATAGAGTCTCTTGCAGTTCCTACCTTTGTGTCTCTAAAACACACACAGAGCCAGATGCCTGCCAGCCACTGCCTCCCACCACACAGCTGGCAACTGCCAGCAAGCCAAGGGCTGGCATCCAGCTTCCACATGTCTGCTGGGTGGACAGGCAGGGACTGGTAGGTGCACTGGTCACTCTGCAGTGCAAAGCCCACAGCCAGGGATGGGCACCGAAAATGCTGATGGTGAAGAAACTGCCCTGAAGAGCTAAAGGCTTTTTGTATGCCATTGTCCAGGGGGCTTTCCTTGGAGCTTTTGCCTTTTCACACTGTTGTGCTGGTGCTGAATGGTTCTGCTGCTGCCCACATTCCTTCCCCTCCTCCAGCCACTGCCTGGCTTTGTGCTGAACACCCCAGCTCAGCTTTTCTCCACAGCCCCGGCTGCAAAACCTCCCCCCCCCCAGCGCATTTTGCTCCATGCTTGCACAGCATATGCATGAATGCCAGACCACTGCGGGCGTGAGGGAGAGACAGGAGAAATGGCAGCAGGCATGGATGGAGGAAGCGGTCCTGGAAAGAGAGACCCTGGATCTTCCCTAGATATTCCTCCCTGATTTGACCTGGGTTCCTGTGCTCAAAATTCCTTGGCTCCAGCTTCCATGGCCTGCTCTGGAGCTCAGTTTCCCCAGGGGGACTCCACCACCCCTCCTGCACCAGAGAAAAAGGTGCCAGGGGATCCCATCTCCTTTCTTACCTTCTCCAAAGTTCTGGTCGTAGATCTTGCTAGGGTTGGCAAACTCATACTCCGCACTCATGGGGTAGGCATGGGGGACAGTCCGTGCAGCCATAGTGTGTCCAGGAAGGGGACCTTCCAAGCACTCACTGCCTCTGAGAGTGAAGGCTGCAGATTGCAAGGTTTTAATTGGGTGAATTCCACAGGGAGGAGTGTGTGATAAAAGATAGACCAAAATAGCCACACGAACAGTCCCCAGGCTGCCTCGCCAGGGTGACAAGGGAAGCTTCTCACTGCATTCCAGCAAGGAGTACAGGCACTGCCTGCAGTCAGGGACGCCTTGGGAAAATCCCGCACCTCCTCCCAAGCCTCTGAGATCCCCTTCTTGAGCAGGGGGTGCAGGAGGCAAATGGGCAGCCAAGTACAGCAAGGTGGTACAGAGGTGAGCTGAGGGAGGCTGAAGTAGGAGAAAGCAGGACAGACCCCAGGCTCTGCTGCCTGTGGTGTTCTCAAAGGCAAGGGCGAGCAAGAAGGGTTATTGTAAGCAGGTTCAAGGAGTCCCTGACACTGGTCCTGCTGGCCCTGAAGCACCCCGAGGGAACAAGGCAGTAGCTAATGCTGACTGGCGCTTGCTCAGGTCGTGCAAAGTCATGTGAAGTCACTACACTCATCATCCCACAGTGAGCTTAGGGCCCAAATTAGTGTCTCCTGTGCCCTATAAAAAGGAGCTTGATTTTCCCAGAAGCTGAGCGGATGGCTCAAGCCTTTTGTTTCCATGAGTGTTGAAATGCTGCAGGTAGTTAAGCAGGGCTAGACAGGATCCAGATCCCACTACTGACACCTCCATGTCCCAAATCATGCTGTTGCAAGCTGGCTGTCCAGACTATTCCCTGGCCAGGGCTTTGGCACGATTTAATGAGACTCGGAGAAATGCTTGTGCCAGAGATCACGAGTTAACCAGGGATCTGTAGCTGGTGTAGATCCAGCTTTCTTGAACTGGGGCAGGGGAGGGGGGAGGGGGGCAGGTAGGGGCAGGAGGGAGAGTAGTGCCCAGTTAAGCTCATTGTACCCTGAAACCAGAGATTTCCTTGAGTCCATGTCCCTGCAGTACGAAAGCAGGTGCAGTGCTGTTGATGTAATGGGGAACTGGAGAAGGTATTTATGGCCTGAGCTGTTACACAGAGCAAATCCTGCTCCCTATTCTTGTAGGCAGGCTGAGAGGAAAAGAATCAGACCCTTTTGCAAAGGACTTGTGGTGCTAGCAGTAAGAATGATGTGCCTCGGAGCTAGTAATTGTATTTAAGTTGTAAGCTTTCAGAGGCAGAGACTAGCTCTTTCGCTTTAAGGACAGTTGCTAGGCTGAACCCATTCCCATGACTTAGATTCACAAGTGAGGCAGGAATTAAAATAAATGTGTGAATTAAGATGCATTAGGAGCACAATTATAGGAAACCAGCTTTCTGCAGGGGCACAGGCAGACAGAGGTAGCTTGTATCCCTGAGAAGGCATGTTGCTGTGCAGCACCATGGAGGCCATTGGCATGCCCGGTTTATCACTGCTCACAGCCCTGCGGAGTACTCTGAGGTCACAGAGTGTCGGGCTCTTCTGATCTCTCCAGGAAAGTGGTTTCTGTTGGGAGCAAAAGCCGAGAGGTGTTGGGCTGAAGCATTGTGGAGAAAGGCATCCTTCATTTGCGCGCACACCAGTGGGTGTGCACTAAGGCAGCGGGGCTTACTGGGCTGCGGAGAACCACTCTGCCAGAAGTATCTCAGCAAAGACCTCCTGGGATCTTTCCTGCCCTCTGACTAGAGCAGGCCTGTGGCTTCCTTTGCCTGAAGAAGGGGCAGAGATCTTCCTAAACTGGTGGGTGATGTGGGGAGCTGAAGTCTCAGTGCTGGCAGTGGGAACAATGGCCCCTTGTCATTTTCCCTGTGAGCCAAAGATAGGAGCTGCATTGATCCTGCTGGCATCCAAAGCAGCTGTGAACATCCGCCAAGCCTGCCTGGGACTCTGCAGATAAACAGCACGTGGTGAGTGGGGTGGGCGGCTGGGCAGTTTGGCTTCTTGCTGCTCCATTAGGCTCCTTTTCTTCTTCTCCCCTTCCCCCTCCTCCTCAGTGGAGTGTTCAAATCCCCCAGACAGCTACTGGGCACTGCTGAAGGGACCAGCCCAGGACCGGGACAATAAAATCTGCATGGGTATAAAGCTGTCCCGCACTCCGAGCACAACACTGCAGCACAGTTGTCTGCCAGGCTCCTCCAGCACTCTCCAATGGATATCACCATTCATAACCCCCTGATCCGCAGACCCCTGTTATCTTGGTTGGCACCAAGTCGTATCTTTGACCAGATTTTCGGAGAGCACCTGCAGGAGTCAGAGCTGCTCCCTGCTTCCCCCAGCCTCAGTCCCTTCCTGATGAGATCCCCCATTCTTCGGATGCCCAGTTGGCTAGAGGCAGGACTCTCTGAGGTAATCTTCCCTTCTTAATGCTCTTTGTTATTGCTGTGTGCGTATCCTGATAGGTCTGGAGCTGGAGACCCACGAGAGCTGAGAGCTTGGGAGCTGCTTGTAGATGGTTGTTAGGAAAAGGCTGGGGAAAAGCAAGCTATGTTTGTGCCTCTGCTCCTCTGCATTAGGCAAGAACCTCTGCATGCTCTGTTAATCGTTTTGACTGAGAGCAAGTGTTGCCATAGTGTCGGGAACAGAGCAAACTGAGCTGAATGCTTGCAGCAAATGACGCTATAAGCTGACGCAAGAAAGGAGGAAGCCTAATTTCCCTGCATGCCGCACAAAATTTTCAATCCCACTGCCTCGTGAGCAGCAAACAGCACAGGGGTAGTAGGCAGGGGTAGTGTGATACGCATATCAGGCAGTGTGGGAGCTCATGGTTGCTGAGGAAAAAGGGGCCCATTTTAAAGAATCACTGCTGAGAAGAGCAGCATTTTAAGTAAGATACAGGACCCAAAGGATCACGAAGTAGCCTTCTGCTTGCTGCAGGGGCTCAGCCAGGAGGCACGCAGTTCAAATAACCTTGCCTGTTCTGCAAGTCAACTGTCTTATTTACAAGTAACTTGTAGAGCTATTCTAAGGCAAAGGAATGAAAGCATTTTTTTAATCGTTGCATAATGTTTCCCTTGATTTAGTGTCCTGGGTTTGGCTGTCCACTGAAGCAGCTATAATAAGCACCACAGGTAACAACGTCTGACCATCTCCGTGGAGAAATCTTCATAAATAATCTAGAAGGAGGAGGAAGCACTTATGACTCTCAGGTCAAACTGTGGAAACCAGTAAGCCTAGAGCTGGCACAGAGGCTGCCTCTGTATCCCAGAGCAGAGCTCCAGGAGGCTCACATGCTCCCTGACCACGAATGCAGCAGGAAGGCAGAGACAGCCAGCTCATAACAAAGTCCCATAAATGTGTCCAAGACAGGCAGAAAATGCAAATTCAACCAGGAAGAAGCAAAAAGTGGTGTTTATTAGAGGTGATAAAGAGCAAAATGGAAGGGAAGGAGGTGAGATTAGAGCAGCAGGTGACTCAGAGTTTCGGCAAAAGTCCTGCTGCTCAGATAACAGAGGTGAGCAGTGGGGCAATACTGCATGCCAGTGACCTTATTCTAGTTACTAAAGCGTGACGATGCAGGGGAAAGCCTGCAAGCCTGCAGATGAGCTGCAGTCAGCTGCACAGTCAGGGTTTCTTTTCCTTGAAAGTCTTTGCAAAATCCAGTCATAGAAACTGGAAACCTCCAGACATTCTGTAAAAAGAATTGGATGCGAAACCTACATGGCAACTAAAGAGTCCGTTTTAACAAATTCATATTAAGAGAATCTCTTCCTCACTCCCAAGGAAAACATTTAGCCAATACGATCAAGATAAAGCATTCACATTTTAGATACTGTAGTGATGGGCATTAATGTAACAGGTTAGCAAGGGACAGGCCAGCAAGAGACAAGCCACCAAGATCAGAATGCCAGGATCACATGAAGGTCAGACAGTGCATGTGTAGATACCAGCTTGAGTCTTGAACTGCTATACCGTGAGAGCCTTTTTAAGCGGAAACCCTCACCTGCTCTTTTCTGAAGTCCCACTCTTGTTTTGCAGATGCGACTGGAGAAGGACAAATTCTCTGTAAATCTTGATGTGAAGCATTTCTCCCCTGAGGAACTAAAAGTGAAGGTGCTTGGGGACATGATAGAAATTCACGGGAAACACGAGGAGCGCCAGGTACTTCTACTTGAACTGTGCCACTGATCGAGTCACTGTGAACTTCCTCATTTACGGTTAAACAAGGAGACTGCAAAACAACCCTCTCCTGTGCTCATCTCAAATATTTCTAACGATTTTTATCAATCAATCCTAATGGAAGATGCTCTGTGCAAGCCCCCCAGCTGATCCCAGCCTGGGCAGCAACAGGGTGGACATTTACTGCTGATTTTACATGAATTGTGAACTGAACTGGAAAATCATCTTTTAAATGGGCATTTCTGGGCCTCCCTCTTTCTTCGAAGAGGCCAGGAATGCAGGGAGGCATTCAATAAGCTAACAACACACTGTAATAATTAAACCACATAATGAATCAATGCATTGCCCTGTTCCGCTACCATGAGGCTACCTCTTCCTAAAAATGGCCCATCTATCAGTTTGTAATCCTTAAAGATTGTGTTCTGCTGTCAGTCATCCCACTGATTACTGGCTCTGGAGCCCTGTGTGGCAACTGAGCAGGCAGAAGTCAAAAGCCACGTCCAAAGCTGTATGTAACAGGGTTTGCCAGTCCCCATCGCCCTCCCGCCCTTCACCCCTGCCTCCTTGCCAGAAGGAAATGAATACACATGCTGAAGTAGCTATGTCACTGGAATTATCAGCTCTAGGAGCTTCTCGGAGCACAGCTCTGTCAATCAGGAAATACAGCATTACTTGTAGCTGGTGGAAGCCTTTAATCCTGACATAGCTTCCGCAAATTTTTTTGGCTAAGAAAATCATCAAGCACTATAGCGGAGATCAGCTCACTAGAAAGCTGTGTATTACTAGAGCTCTGGAGACCCTCAGAACAGGCATGGCTGGCACTGCCTGTAGGTCTAGCTGCTGCATCTTAGGAAAGACAGCACACCCCTGTGCAATGAAGCCAGTCAACAGCTGGAACATAATGCCTCCTCCTGCAAACAGAGTACCTGCAGGCACTGCAGCCTAGGCAGGGCAGTGTCTCACTTCGGCCAGTCTTGGCTCTTTAAAAAGGGCATCTCATAATAAAAACTCTTTTAACTTTCTGAAAAGTTTTCCTTTGAGAGCTGGAGTTTCCTGATCTCTGACTTTATGAAAAGGACCCATGGTTTAGGTGGAACTGAGTGAACATTTCTAATCAGGGTTGTTCCTTCTCTTCTCCTTTTGAAGGATGAGCATGGCTTTATTGCCAGGGAGTTCAACAGGAAATACAGGATTCCAGATGATGTGGACCCTCTGACCATAACCTCATCACTCTCTCTGGATGGTGTCCTGACTGTGAGCGCACCGAGGAAACAAAGTGATGTCCCTGAGCGCACTATCCCTATCAGCCGTGAAGAGAAGCCTGCTATTGCAGGAACCCAAAGAAAGTAGGCTTCTATTTAAAGTCACCCCGGGGGGCCATTCAAGAGCACTTTTTATCAGATGCTAGCTATACTGAATGGCTACTCTTATTATTTATGCTGAGTAAGTTTACTAACAAATAAAACATGAATAAGCAGTCTGTATTTTTTTGTTTTGAGCACAGAGGACAAGGGAAGAGTTGGGTCAAGAAAGCTGTCTAAGCTTGCTGTGCAGGGAAGCATACCTGGCATCATTCTTGCTTACTGCTTGAGTGGCAGGTGCATCCAGGAGAGCTTGTCTTGGTGTTCAGAAACACTTTGCTAATTTCACTTTGTGCACTCTAATGTTTTGCAAACATCTAATTGCATGAGGCTTTTCCCTCAGTGTTGCCAGAGGATTTCAGAGTGTTTCACAAGCAACAGAAAAGTTTCTCCAGTGGAGATTAGACTGGTAAAACAATTTCATGACAATTGAAACCCATTTGAAGTGTGAGTATTAGATAACGACTGAATGGAAGACAACAGTATCTTAAACCTCTAGAATGACTCATTATGGAGAAGCATCCAAGCACTGCAACCAATTCAGATGAGCTGCAGATGAAAACTGCATAGCTGCAATAAACACAGATGTATCCACAGAGGAGAAAAACATCCTGCTGTCATGGTGCAAATCACATCACTTTGAAACTATGTTGTCAGTGCCCTTCAAACAATGAACAGGATCTGACGTCTACAGTATTAATCTGATTTATGCTAACATTGTTGAGTGGTACAAAACATTACTAAGTCCTTCTCAGGTGTCATCATCTGCTTAGCACAGATGATATTCCTTCAAAGGGATATGGGCATAGAGGAAAGTCTGTACTACTGGAATTCAATTTCTAAAATTCATCTCCAAAAGGACAGAAGGTCATAGATGTGTTGCACAGATCATGAGAATCAGTTATATTAGCAGAGATTGGTTTAAATCTCAGATGAACGGAGAGGGCATACTTCTTCCGTGGCTTTAAGTGAGAAAAACAAAATAAGCATTCAGTGATGTGAGGTCACTGTCAAATACACCAAATCCCACCTAATCGCCAAGGTCTAGTGTTTCCTACTAGCTGGTTCTAACAAACTCTTCCAGTTAGGGTGTTTGTTGAGTTTGACTGACATGGCACAGGGTGACTGGTGACTTGCAGTCATCTCTGCACACAGAATGAACAACAGAAACACACATAGGTTACAAACAATACCTGTTGGTTGGGAAAGCAGGAAGAACATTTTTCACATGATGCTACATTTGGCTTTAATGTGACCGGTCTTCTTGCTTGAAGGATATCCTTGCAGCACAGCTGGCAGACAGGCCTCCCGTTTTTCTGAAGACACAGTCTGGAGATTCTCTCCATCTCTGTTGCTTCTCCTGCATTCTTCTTGTTCCTTCTTTGAGTGTCGGGCACAAGCAAAGAAAATGTTGCCATACAGAGGCCTGTAGTCTATCGTGTACCAGGACTGAGCAGTTGGGTTGAATGAAGGAGGTTCCACCTGAGGGTGGTGGCCCAGAAACTGATGATGCTCTTGTTCAAATACAAAAAGAATAAACACAAAAACCCTTGAAGGAGTAAGTGAAAAATAGTAAGAATATATCCAGAAAGTGCAACTGAGGGAGATCTTTTCTGTAGAGCAGGGTTTTGTTAGGCTCAAACTCCAGAGCAAGAAATGGGAATTTTGAGTGATGAGGTTAGCTAGACAAGAACACTTCAAATGCAAATACTCTCTCTGTATGACTCGAAATACCTGTTCTGTGATGGCACAGGAGCACAACTCAACAATGAGAAAACAATTCTGTCATCTCTAAGCACATATGTCATTCAGAAGCTCCTCTTTAGCTACAGTACAGATCCACCAGACTACTTTTCAGTTCTGTGCATGTACTTTTCTCTCTGATGCTTTCCCTTATTGTAATCTGAAGAGTATGTTTCTTCAAAGCAGTGAGTATCCTGAAAAGCAAAACCTCACATTTAGCATGGCCGAATATAAGTAAAAAATTTTAACATTTTATGTCTTACAGGAATACCAAAATATCTGCAATTGCAATACTACTTTCAAATCAGTGTAACCTAAGATCACAAACCTTTGGTGATGAGTTTTGATTCACCATCTGAGCAGCAAAGGAAAGAGAGCTGGACTGGGGCCACAGTTACAAGGAGTAAGACTCATTTTAAGCAAAAATGCATTCCTCACATCTTTACGCCTGTAGTGGGACTGTTGTAGAGCACTCATCAGAGAAAGGGGTGCTGACTGTGCCTTTCTGGCTTTTTAAAAAACAGCAGAAAAGACTAGGAGCATGGCTGCAGAAAGGGAAGCTACTCATGGGAGGCTTACCTCTGATGTATTCGTAGCTGGGGATGGAAAGGATAATGCCCTGTGTGCATGACAAATTAAGTGACCAGTGATCATCTCAGCTGAGATTTGCTATATCCACAATAAGGAAAAGCACAATGACATACCTGGAAAGGAAGCGTCTTGGGCTGCACAATTCTTTGGATATTGTATCGCTCTTCAGTCCAGTTGCCCATAAGGGTTTTTGCTGGCTAATCATTTTCACTGGTTAGTGCACCTCCAGCCATACTGGGAAAGTTTAGAAGTGCTGTCCCAGTCCATTCACAGTTCGCCATGCCCAAGAGCATACATTAAGAAGCCATGGAGGGAGTTGTACGAGCAGATCTTGCACATCATCTGGCAATAGAAATCATCCAGACTCCCTGGATCAGCTTGGATCTCAACAGCAGGTAACATGACATGGAACGTCCACTGGTCACTGCAGAGGGACCTCCTATACTTCCACCTGTGAGAGAGGGCATCAGAGAACTGCATTCCTTCTTGATGTCAAAAAGCTTTCCTTTTTCTTTTCTTTTTTTTTCTTTTTTTTTTTTTTGGGGGGGGAGGGTATGGTAAGTACTTATTTTCCTAAACTGTGATACTGTGTTTCTTAGCTTCATCTTACTGAATACCTCTCAGTGTAATTTACCCATGCTTTGAAATAGACGAAGGGATTCACCCAAGGCCACTGGGACCTAATGCCTGAACCAGGACCAGATCTCCTAAACCGCAGGCGGTAGGTCTCTGTCAGTGCTTGCCTTTGCCAGATTTAAGACTTCCACTGTCACTACCCATGGGACTCCTGAAACACTGTCCTTGCCCTGTGCAGCAGCTGAGGGCACACAAATAGAACAGGTGACAGTAAAGCATCGCTATTCTCTC